TTTATTACCTTCCTGATCTTCAGCGTACTTGTAAACAAGCAGGGCAAAGCAGCAGCCATCTGCAGGTAGTCAAAAGCAAAATATAAAGGAGAAAATGTCAGGTACAAAGCCAAAAAAGCGCAAGACATACCAAAATGAAGCCCTCCACAGCAGCATCGACAACACCTTCAGGGCCTCAAGAGGCAACCTCTTCAATCTCTGTGCGGGTCACAAACCCCAAAAGTCTTTCCCTAGCCAGCCTCATGTCCTGTAACATAGATACTGAGGCACTACCCAAAACAGGACAGCTAGGCAGACCCTCCGTCCTAGTAGGAGACAGCGCCGAAGTCCCAATCCTCATAGTAGTGCATAAACCATCTCTAGGGGGTGAGGAGACATCAACCAGAGGAGAACAAGGGGCATCACCAAGCTTCGTCTCTCAGTAACTAGCCTGACCAGTGGACCTCGACTGAGAAATACCGGGGGCACCAGACTTTGCCCTCTTAGAAGAAGGAGGGGAAGGTGCCGCCCTAGAAGTGTAGACTTTCTTCACCATTGACTTGTCAACGGAAGTACCTACAGAATCAGTGTAAATTAAAATGTCCATAACATTTTGCCTATAAAGAGTTTACTAAAAAGATCTCTTTGGCCTGGGAGAAGCCTTGAGGTGGCCAGACACCGACATAATCCCGGAGAACTCCTTGGTGATGAATTTGCCCGACGTCGGGGCAAAACGGTACCACCCCTAATGAGGAATGAGGTTCTCCAAGAGCACATAGGTGGCCAAGAATTCCTCGAACTAGGGAGGAACATCAGCACTGTGTACCAATCACCACAATGCAAAGAATGCTAGTATCACCCTTCACCCGTTCGGGGCTAAGCTCCCGGGAACCAGCGACAGGTACTCCAAAACCCGACATATAGGCCTAGGCATCGGAAACCTCAGGTCTGCCTCCAATATGTCATCATAAAGGAAAATCTAGTCAGATGAGTCATAGCATGCTGACTTGTTGCCCTCACGGGTGGGAAGATCTATCGGGTCTCTCGTCAGACTGGTATTCTACTCCTTGCCATCTCACGAAAAGAGGAATGCGATACGAGGAAACTATGACTGCAATATCCTCGTCGCAGTCGAGAGAACTAAGTATAGAGGCTACCTTAGAGCCATTGTCTCCATCGGTCCTTGGGTCTCCATCGGAGTCTCGAGTATTCCCCCGCTCACTCGAAAGAACACCTACCAAAACAAAACCAAGCCAGTACTGAGAAGACAGCCACAACAACAAAACAATAAAAATGAGCGCCAGACAACATACCTTGAAAACTCGTTCTCTTCAAGTCACTGCCTGACCACTTCCTTGCACTACCTAAGCACTCAAGGGCGTCGCTGGACTTACCCGCAAGTTCCCTAAAATTGCCCAAATTGCCTAGACCTCCACCGGCACCATCTAAAGCACCCGAGTCACCACCATAGTTTGGAGTAAGAAACTCAGTACCTTGGGTAGCATTTCCATCACTGGCCTTGCAAAAGGAGGCCTGGGCCACGTATAGAAGGTTGCTTGGGGCACTGCCCACCTCATGACAGGCGCCGCCTGCCTCTCTTGAAGAACCTCTTTGCAGTTCTCCAGCGCCTTGGACTCCTCCCACTAGATTGCAAGGGCTGCCTGAGACCTCCTTCCCCATGCCAAAAGTTCCAAAGGGCCTCTCGCCATCTGTCGAGACCTCACCAACACTGTCGCCGGAAGGAGAACCCAAGTCACCAGCGCCTGAGAGGGGGTCACCCAAGCCCCTGGCACTGCCCATGGGGATGGACCCAAATTCCACTCCCTTCTCTCTATCCCGCTCTTTCTCCCTTATGCGGGTGCTGCCTGCCAAGCCTCTATTGGCGCCGCCCCTAGTGCCTCGCTTCTTAGGCTCCTCAGCTGCCCTCTCCATCAAGGTCCTGTCGTCTCCCATCGAGAACCTAACACCATGGTCTCCTGCTTGATCCACTGTTCCACTACCTGAGTCCCTAGTGCCATCAACAAGATGGACAACCCCATAGGCGACGCCTTCAACACAAGACCCTCGGGCGTCGCCCCTGTCACCACTGAAATCCTCTCCAAGCTTATTTGAACTCCTAGTCTCCATAGATTTGTTTTGACTTGGGGAAGAGAAGATTAAGGGAGAGAAATGGGTGTGAGGAATAGTAGCTTCTAAAGGAAGCCTTTAAATAAGAGAAGAATAACTTCTTAGAGAAACTTTGTGGGAAAGCTTCTTAGAGAAGCTTTGTGGGATAGCTTCTTGGAGAAGCTTGGAGGGATAGCTTGTAAGAGAAGCCCCAAGGAAAATGAAAAGAGGAATGGAGGGAGAGACCAGGGACCTCTATTTATAGGCAAAGACACAGCAAGAAGAATGCCAAAAAATGCAAAAAATAGCCGATGTCAATAGCTTCAGTAGAGAGTCCTTGAAAATGAAAAGACGTCATAAAGAGCGAGAAAACTTCTACTCACTCAAGTGAAGAAGAAACTCATGCCCTCAACCCTCCTCTCACAAACAGTCGGAGGCCTAGGGCATGGGGAGCAGATGATGAGCCCAAAATCAACTGGTCCAGGTCCAATAAATCAAGAGGGCCCAAATTAGCTGAAGGGTGGTCCATACCCACTTTGCCAGTTCGATCCAGTCTGACCCAGTCCGACCGAGTTCAGGATCCAAGGAGCTCGGAGAGATAAGAACACGTGGGAGAAACTGTCGGGATATACACTCAAGAAAATCCAATCTTACCTTAATTGTACTTACCAAAAGAGTAGTGCCCTCTCTCTCACGTCACCGCCTCACCAAACCTACATAATGTAAACCCTCTCCACATGGAGGGGCATCACCTTTAAGACCTCTACACACCACATTACATCTCTACACTTCTCTACACACCAAGTCTCTCTCTTTCTCTTTCCCCAAAAGTATTGTAATTCTCCCGGAGTATACTCTTCTAGTGACTTTTATTCATCAATAAAGATCTCCGGCCATCACTACCGTTCCCGAAAGTGAAGTAAGTCACCCGGACATAACCACTATAAATCTGCGTGTTTGCTTCTATTTACTGTTTTTGTCATTGATTATCTTATTTATAGCTCATTAATTACACATTTTCAAATACTCGACTGTTGATCTTGCACAAGATCAAATTTGTATATCGTCAATTATAATTTTAACGAGTTGAGTCATAACAAGAAAGTTATTTTACAATAACATCCTCGGACGGTACAAAATTAGTCTTACCCATGAATAATCCTATGACAAATCATCCCTTCCTCAGAGCAGTAGTGTCTAATGCTGGTCTGTTTGTCTGCCAACGTTTCATTGTTTCTAGAGCGAAAACGACGTTGCACTTAATAGAGAGAGATAAAGAGTGATTTTTTGTGTTATTTTCTTTCGAATGGTTTGCAAGTCGTAGACGTGTGTATTTTTTCTGGTCTCATCTCATGTGATGGATCAATCGCTCTGGATTCGTGTAAGGAGGTTGTTGTTCAGAGATTTGTTGTCTTAGGTCGTTATCTACTTAGTCAATTGAGATCCTGAGACATGTCAAAGAGTTTTAAGAGTAAGAAATTGATATGGTCTCAACTGAACCACTTCCGATGAATAAGTCAGCAAGTGGATGAAGGTGAAACGTAATAAAAGAAGTATGAAATTTGTTTAGTCTCACGTTAATTCTTTTCTTTGAAAGAACTGCTTACCTTTGCCCTTCATTAATGATGGATTTTGTAGGTTGGGTTGAGTGAAGTTTTGGTTATAAGGGTGATCATTAGGATTAATCATTTATGATTGAGTGTGGCTTAAACTAGCCCATTCATGTCCCCCAACTCCTGTTATGTCTCAGTGATTCATTCATAGTATTTGTATTATAAATACGCTCATCACTTGCTACTAAAGTACACACAACTATTCTATTTGAGATAAAATTTCCAACTATTACGGGAATATTCACTAACTCAACATACTTGAGAAATCTTTTGCCTATTGGTCAACCCTGACAGTTATTAGACAATTCGAGTTCTTTTATTCCATTTATTCTCACGGAATACATTGACATTTAATATGTATGTCAATTCCTTCTAACTCTCCACCGACATATAACACCTCTGAGTTCACAGACACCTAATCTTAACGTTGTTTAAGTAGGTTACGGCGCTACATGTCAATGAAATGCAGTCACGTATGGTTGAAAAGTTCAAATAATTTATTGTGTCATTGATTGCTTGTTTGAAAAAGGAACGTTGCGAAAAGTGGTTGCGGAGAAATTCAGAAAAAAAGTTGTTACCTATTAATGTAGTAGTAAAGGATCTCAAATGTTAGAATTAAAGCTAAGCCGTCCACTACATATTATTTTAAAAAAAAATTAACCACACTCCTTATAATTTATCTTATCTTAAAAAATATTCCCTCTATTATAAAAAAACATCATTGACACTCTTTAGAGTTTATATTTAAATATTATTGACATCCCGTGCCATTAAACCACCATTTATAATAAAAATAAACTATCTCAAATACCAAATTTACAACTATATAAACCCCAAACAATATTTCAACATAAAATTCGATCTTATTAATACTTTTATTTTTTTTGTTTAACAGCCAAGAGTATTTGAATCAGTTAATGCGTACTTTGACTGATTCTCTCTTCGATTTGATCAAAAACAGATCATTTACGCCGAGACTAGAGTATTCATAGTTTGACCCTAAAACGTTGTTTAATATTCGAACTCAAGATGTTTGAATATACAATTCGTCTCTGTTACCGTTTGAACTGCCGATTAAGATTATTTATCCCAATCTTCGTCAACCTATTCCCTCTCGCTTTTTTTTGCTAATAAGCTCACTCAATAATTATGCCTGAAGAAAGATGAAATGGGCAGACACATATATATATACATATATTCATGAACTCATGGTTGTATGATCAATCTTGATATAGTGTATCTCTTGCTTTCAAACTCGAGGGATAAATCGAAGTGACAAAAAGTTGAACTAACTTCGCCTTTTACGAATACTATTGAAGAGCTTTTACTACATAGTCAATCCTGACATACTCGGACTAAAAAAGGCAGTGCTACCACTCACGACACTGGTTGAATGGTGGAGGCCACCACAACCCAATGCCCTAATCAGTCCCCACAACCGTTTCATTCTTCTCCCAACCTTCTCACCGCCGCCGCTCCTTTGAAATGACAGTGATTTCCGGCGAATCTTCCTGCTTTTCATATCACTCAGTCCCATCTCAACCGGAACCCTAGCCAATCCAAACATAAACAAGTACCATCTGGACTTTGTCGTGCAAATATCATATTTGTTGATGCAGTACTTATGGGTGTTGTTATTGTACCTATATTTCTCTGGCACCGGCGATGACAAAGTCTTTGAACTCGAAACATACTGCAAATTTGACACCCTTTTTTTGGATTCAGAGGGTTTTGATTTGTTCAACGACTTCGACGTCCACCGGAAAAGGCCAGGCTTGTGTTCTTCTCGCTCTCTGTTGCTTTCTTTCTTGTGGGTGTCTTCGGAGACTGGTTCTTTGCAGGGAATGAGCTTTCCGCAGAAGATGATGTTTTTCGATGAAAAACTGGACCCATTACTCCAATCTTCACTAAAGAACTCAAAGCAGTCTTGATCAGACGGCGATGATGATGAAAAGCTTTGAAGTTGTTCAGAGAAGTCTTCGTAATGAGCAGAGTCGCTGTATATGGGAAGATCACATAGGGATAGTGTCTCCTCAGCTTCATCGAAGTCGTCCTGTTCAGTGTTTTCTGTCACCAAGTCTTGGTAAGGCTCTTTGGTAGCCATAGCTGCAATGGAAGAGTGATATTGAATATACAAAGAAAGTTTGAGGGAAGTAGCGGTTTATATAAAATTTCTCACCCTAGGAGGGGCTTAATTTATAGAGAGAAACATGCGAGTGTTAATATATTCAGTGACCTATGACATGTATTTAATTGAATTCGGACATCCTCAATCGTCCTTAAAAGTCGTGTTGTTTAAGGTTTTTGTCATTTTGGGTTACCATTAACTTTCCACGTTATATTCCCCTAACAATTCATAGAATACTAGAAGAATATTACATCCAATTATTATTAAACAATACTATACTTATTAAATTATTTATTATTTTATATCCTAAATCAGTGTAGATGGTTGAATTAATGGGGTCTACTAACTCTATCAAATATTTAATACATAAGATTTTTAACATATCATTTGAGATAGAAAATTTAATAAACAAATTTAGATGACACAATTTTATTCATTATTATTACCGCTGATTAATTATTTCATTTCTTGTAGTTGTATTATATCAATTTTTAAAAAATTACTATCTATTATTTTTTGGGTACATTGGAAAGTAAAAAAATCACTATTTATGCATGCTACTAATCGCTCTTTGATAGCTACAGCTTCTAGAGGAAATAGAGTAACGGAGATGTCTACCGTACCAAGAAAAAAAATAGTACCCTACGACATTTATTAGTTTTGTGAATATTTTAATTATTATTATGATTATTTTTATCACTATTGTGAAATAAAAAAAATTGATAAAAATAGTAAATTTTTTATTGTAAAAAAACCCAAAAATATAGTAAATTTTATTGAGAATTGTTAAAAACTATAAAGTTCGTAACTAAACTATTCATGTACTTTTTAAGGTGTGAGGTCCAACTTAATTGAACATTTAAGGCGAGAGGTCCAAACTAATTTTTCTCATTTTTTTAAATGATAATATTACTCCTTATATCTTGCAATTTATCCAACTAAGAGGTAGTGTCTTTTTCACGAGTAAATCCAACTTTTCTTTCTCAGAAATCGACCACCACCCCTACGCCCCCCTGCTCCATGGAGAGTGATTTAAATGATGGTACATGAGAGTGAATTCAATGACAGTGAATTAAAAAATTTAACTTTTCTTTCCTCCACAATATATAATAAAATGCATTTAATTTTTTAATTCATTATCGTGTAATTTATAGTTTACGATCATAGAATTCATTGTCAAGAGGTGGGTGATGGGATATGGTGAAAGTTTTTAAATACCCACTTTTATTAAAGGTATTTTTGTCAATACGTATTCTATGGACCTTTCACTCTAAATGTCCAAAATAAATCTCACGTTTTAAAAGCACTAGACTTTGTATTCTCGCTAAATCTCCCATTTTTTTATTCGTAGTTTAGTCCTAGAATCATATATATGTAGCTTGAGAGAGAGAGAGAGACAAGAGAGAGAATGGTACTAGTATGCTCTTTTAGAATAGCATGCGAAGAAAATGGATTAAAACGGGGACATGGTCTCCTACTAATATATGAATAGCGTTGTGGCTTCCTTCTAGATGGAGCTTGGGGGCAGAGAGAGAGAGAGAGAGAGAGAGAGAGAGAATGGTACCATTATGCTCTTTTAGAATAGCATGCGAAGAAAATGGATTGAAACATGGTCATGGTCTCATACTAATATATGTATAGCGTTGTGGCTTCCTTCTAGATGGAGCTTGAGAGAGAGAGAGAGAGAGAGAGAGAGAGAGAGAGAGAGAGAGTGGTACCATTATGCTCTTTTAGAATAGAATGCGAAGAAGATGGATTGAAACGTTCTCATGCTCTCATACTAATATATGTATAGTATTGTGGCTTGCTTCTAGATGGAGCTTGGGAGCATTAGGACAACCAATTTTGACGTTTCCTTCTACTGGTTTGCCATGGATGCGATATACATGCAGTGGTGGGGCTCCACGTGCTTGTTGATGGTTGAAGTCAAAGCCAAACAGGCTTGATTTACAGGTGGCTATTCTAATTGGAGCAATTGTGTAGGCTTAACCCTAGACATGGACTGTGAAGCCTACTTCAGACCATTTTTTCTTATACAACACTAAATTGTCTCAATCCCACGTTATTTAAACCATAGTTATAATATATACATTGGATAAGCACATTCATCTTGAACGCAAGTGTTGGGAATGATTCGAGTTTTTCGCAAGTTAAACTTAGGATTTCAAAGTAGCAATGTCTAAATTCTTATTATTGGGATGAGTCTGCCATTCTTACAAAAGAATTTTAGAAGAAAGATAGTAGAAATTATAAAGGGACTGAAAACAGAATGTGAAATATATTAGTTGTCAGTATATCATGCCTATATCTACAAACCCGAATTTAGTAGGCTAACACATGACAAACATAAAATCAGTCACACATTTTTACTGTTATATATACTTTTCTATACTAAGCGAATTTCGACAGTTCTTGATGGATGTTGTCATATCTCTAATACAGCCCTAGATAACCAGGCTTGGCTGGAATTGGTGATAGAAGCATTCTTCACCAAATGTCATGATGTGTTAAATGCCATGGGGACAATAGCATTGCAAACGCATGAAAGTTATGACATTTTGGGAGTTAATAACGTTTTGGGTCAAAAGTATATATAAATTGAATGAGATCAAGTTATGATTAAGATCGATATTAAAATATTAGAATATCAATCTCAAATAATCACATTTTATTAGAATACCATACGAAATTATAAACTCAATCTATTTTCTTGTAACTAGTATTACCCATGAATTAAATCCTATGACAATTCCTCCCTTCCTCAACCCTAGAAGTCTGCTAGTCTGCTTTGTGCCACCTCCCCTCTGGTTCTAGAACGAAAACAATGTTGCACTTCTAGAGGTTGAAAATTTTTCACTGAGTTATACATAGCATACTGTAGTGTGTGGTATACATATCTAATAAGAAACTGTCACAATACTAGGTTTTGTGCCACACCAGTTGATTTTTTTTTTTTTATAAAAAAAAATGACAAAATGATAGATTACAGACTTTTATTGGTATACGAAATTGGGATATGGAGTTTTGTTGGATTGCTCATGGGTGGGCATGGCCCGATAAGATGAAGGTGGGTTGAAGAAGTTTGAGTAGTTCAAACTAGTGGTTAACTCCTACTCGGACAGTGGGAGATAACCACCTGAAAATAACAAGCCCCACGACAGTCTGTCCCTTCTCCCTAATTTATGCACGTAATCTAGCTCTTCCCCTGGTGAAAAATAAGAAATCAACTTTATTAGGTATTGCATGTGTGAGAATCCCACATCGAATATAAAAATAAGTTAAAGTATCCTAATATATAATAGATGGACTCACCACTTACAGGTTTAAGTTTTTAGATAGATATGAGTTCTAAACATGTATATTATACATTGGATTATTAGGCTCCCCAGTTTCGCACCAAATCAGAACCGATGACTAATGATCCTAAGTAAATTCTCGATAAAGTGGTGTAGTGTGACGGTACTAATGATGGCTCTTAAGAAAAAGTGATGAATTTTTGGTATTGAAGTCATGAAAATGCAACTCGAAAAAAAAAAAAGGAAAAAAGAAAAGAGCAAGGCACAAGCTTGGACACATTCCACTCAAAGCTTGGTTCTTGGAAGAGTGAGATCTTTGTAAAAAGTGGTTGGACGCGGTGCTTATAGAGAGTGGTGGAATAGACTCAATGGAGAGCTTGGAGAGCCAAGCTCGATGTGGTTCACGCATGAGAGAGAAATTATTAAGTGTTATATGTGTGAAAATCTTACATCAGATATAAAAAAATAAATTAAAATATCTTAATATACAATGAATAGATTTACCATTTATAGGCTTCAACTTTTAAGTGAATATAAATTTCAGACATATGTATTGAATTTTAAATTAATCGACTTCCAGTCTCCCAACAAATTCTTACAAATATTGGTAGAACCGTTAAAAATATGGGTGTGGATCGTATTAGTTTTGCATAGCCACACTTACCACCAGTTATTGGTTTGTATTTGATTGTTTGAAAGCACATAGCTAGAAAGACTTTTTTTTTTTTGGAAGTACTAAATAAATTTCCCTCCTTCTAGAGTGACAGTGACAGTGATTTGCGTGTGTTTTCTTGGTTAGCAAAGTCGTAGATGTGTGCGTTTTTTTCAGGTATCCTCTCCTGAATCTCTGCTTCCTTAGTCGTCCTTATTCTTCTCAATTCTTTATTTTCCTTTCCAAACTTTTCTCCTTTTTTTTTTTTGGATTTTCTCTCATTTCTATGGCTATCAGTCCAGAAGCTTGGGAAGAGTTGCTTTCCATAACACCACCAAAACTCTTCCATACACCAAACTTCCAGTCAACTAGAGAAATAAAAAAAAAGTTCACATTTTCTAATTGAGAAGACAGACATTTTGGGTCAAATCATTGAAAAAAGCTAAAAACTAAACAACGTTGTTTCATGAGCTTGCGTAACATTAGCTAATTGGTCACGTAAAGATTGATCAAGTCAACGACGCTTAATTGGTCTTTTTAGATGATCAATCACACTGAAACTAAGATAGTCAGTACTCCCACAGAATAATAGTGGAGAATTTTAGACAATGGGCAAAAGCCCGAACCATCATATAATCCATATCAATTAATTCAAAATTCTCTTAATAGAAGTCAATTTGAGACATTGAGATAATAACTCTGAACTAAATTACTTAACAGGTTGTTCTGTTCTCTCTCTAAAAATCATATTCCACCCAAGGGTATCTTTAAATTGCATACACACATCTATCTATATATAAGCAATATTAGTGAGACATAATTTAGAAGAATAAGGTTGCATGAACTTAAAAACTAGACTTAAAAATTACAACCATTGATTTCACTGTGGATGTCAACATTTATTGAGACACATTACCTATTCAATGGTTGAGATTATCAAGTCTAGTTTTTAAATCCATTTAACATTACTCAATTTAGAAACATAAGTAATTGTGATTATTAGATTTCAGTAGATCCTCACATTAAAT